TAATCACACACTGGAAATAACACAGATTAGATTTAAATTCATTAATTAAATATACAGAGCAGAAAATGTCATTTGATAGGGACAAGGAAATATGGATTGTAAGGGAAAATTGTCAAAAAAAATTGAACATTTCAGTGTCAAACCATTGTGGACACAAGTGCTTTGCAGCCTGATTTGACAATTAGCTGCAATGCTTTGAGTGCTGTTATAAAAGGGAGTTTATATGCCCTGGGATTATATTACAAGCCCACACATCAGTGTGCAATGTTATCACTGACAATTCAGAGAGCATTTATTAAAAATTACAATCATCATGCTCCCAGAACCTCTGCATGAACAGTACAGCTGTGCCTGTTCACAGCAATCTATTCCCTGCCATTTCAAATAATCCAAGTAAACACTTATTTCTGCAATGCCACACCAACTATTTTCAATTTCTATCAGTCAAGTGATTTATCAAGTCAACATCCCCGTGCCCAGCAGTGAACAGTGCAGTAAAGAGAATTTGGTCTCTGCAGAACAATTCCATTTTGATTTTTGGAACTGTAATATAGGTCTGTCCTTCATAAATGCTCAGTAATGATCTATTCTAGATGAAATGTTTAAAGAATGTTTTATAGCTTGCACGCTCCATTTATTTCAGCTTGAATTGTACGAAGCCACCTCCACATTTAGCTGGTGGTATCAGCTGACACAAGCAACTATTTAACATCAACCAAATGCAGTTAGACTCTCAAATTATTTAATGTAAGTAATGTCAGCTGAAGGTTATTATCCTCCTAACCCTCCAAGGTATCTGTTTCCACGCTCATATATAATAAATAATTGCCAGTCACAAACACTTTGCCTCACAGAGAGCCACTGTCAACAAAAGCAACCTCAGGAAAACTGAGGTTTTCGTGGCATCTTTTGGACAACAGAGCTCGGATCCAAGATCCGACCACTCACAATTTCTAAACCAGATTATAAAGCTAAATCCACGCAAACCCTTAATGGATCAGGATTTTATTTCGAGCGCCGCAAAAACTTCGGCCGCGGCCAAGTCTTATCAGCTACGGTGGCAGACAGATTACAGGAGACGTGCCATGGATCAGGAGGAGGCACCACCAGCTTAAACCAATTACACACTTAGCACCAAGTTGTCAAACTGCAGACGGATGCCAAATCCTAACATGTCATTTCCACCGCGCTCCCAAATTTTCAGGAGAATTACAGTGAATAAAGAGTCTGTGCAGAGTGTGAAATAAAGTTGGGAAATGTGGTGGAAAGAGCAGTGTTTGGACATACATAAATTTGGGTGGTGTGTAAATAAGGAATCCACACCAGCTCAAGCTTTACCATTGCACAACCTCTGGGGTTTTTTACCAGAGGTTCAAACTCCCCTGTATCTATTCATGGGCAGACAGATCTATTAAATTATTTGCCAGCTGGGAGTCATTTCTTTTACAATAAGCAGTGTAGTGAGAGGTAACTACAAAGCAATCCAGACCTGTCCTAATTACTCCTTCCAGGCAGGAAAATGTGTGATAAAATGCAGGTTTTGTGACTCCCTTCCTCTGGTTTACTCGCTTCAGCACCGTTAACCTGTAGCTTCTCATGGCCTTCTACGGTGCTCTTAAACCATATGAAAAACATCTCGCCAGACAATCACTGTACAATTTAAGGCACATAATTAGCAATTATTTCATGCACACTTGACAATAATAATCTAAGGGAAAGAAACATTAATGAGCTACTTCTGGTGCCCGCTCTGTGTACTGTGTTTGCATAATAATGAGCTCCAATCTGCTGGAAAACACATAATTAATAAGGTCGTCATTTTTGCCTAATGATGCTTAATACAGTTTTAGCAATCTGGCCGAGACAAAAGACGGGCACTCAGACATAGCCGATTATGCATTCGCGTGGCAGCTGAAATCTTTATTAAACAGAATGATGATGAATCTGATTACCATGGAATAACAAATATACAGTCTGTGACGGGGCCCTGGCACCTCCCGCCCCGCTCCGGCCACTCTGGGGCTTTACCCAGATTGAGGTCAGACTGGAATTCCCCGTAGGCGCATTAAGATAAAAAGTTTGCCAAATGTGGCAACATGATGAACAAAACAATATCCTGTTATATAAAAGCTACTGTCTCACCAGCTGACTTGTCTAATCGGCAACAACTCCTTAATAAGTTTAAAATTTTAATTGTTGGTTTCGGTTCACCTTTTAGCATATGAAAGGCCGTTTATTCCATTAGCTAAAGCACCCCCAGGCCCCTGCGGCAGTAAAATATTTCCTCTAATTCCAAAGTGGTGTCTGCCAGTTCACAAAGATAACTGCAAACAGGAATATAAAATTATTTACCTTATCTCATGCAATATAAAAAATAACATTGTATGCCACTGATATAAAAGGCAGT